TTGGTTTAAGTTTTGTTTGTTTGCTAATCTTGGGAAAAAAAGAGACTGCATTGAGGGAAAGTAAGACTTTGTCTTATAAAGTTGTAAAATATATCTATGGAGATTTTTACATCGACGGAAGCCTTGCACGTCAAACTGATATCAATAGAAGTTTACATTTGGAGAGTAAGGTTGACCAAACTTGGCGAACAATACGCATTCAGATGAATTAATATTTATATACAGGAGAAACATTTGTCTCTATTTGTGTTGAATAATTTAGAAGAAATCATCAGATGCCGGATACAAATGCCCGCTTTCTTTTCACAATCTCTCTCTCTCTCTGTGTCTTCATATATATATATATATATATATATATATATATATATATATATATATATATATATATATATATATATACTATAGTTCAAAAGTTTGAAGCCACCTCCAGAATTAGCATGGAATGAACTTGACAGAAGACTGAAAATAATGAAAAAGAGATCTTAGAATATTTGAAAAACGAATGGAATCAATTATCAAAAGTATACTTTGAGAAATTTTTGCAACGAATGCCAAAAATTTGTGCTGCAGTAAACAAGGCAAAAAGAGGAAATTTTGACGAGAGCAAAATTTAATCATGAAATGCTTTTTTTATTTTTGTCATAATAAAATTTCTAATAAAAATCATGTCTCATTTTTTTAACATTGTATAATAATTTTCTCTTATTTAAAGTACAAAGCCACTGCTTTTGGGGCCAATTTAAAAAATTACCAGAGATGGATTCAAACCTTTGACCAGTAGTATATATATATATATATATATATATATAGAGAGAGAGAGAGAGAGAGTATCTCTACCTAAATATCAACTTAGAACATTCTCTGTTGATTGATCTCTATCTATAAAAGGCAGGATGTGTGTGTATGTGTAACGAATGCACGGCCGCAATTTTCGACGGATTTGCACCAAAATTTACATGCACATGCTCCAAGTTAGCGGGAAGGCCAAGACCGACTTTGCATTTCCCAACTACCATCGATCGTAGAAATAATCGATTTTCTCATGCTTCTACGGCAGTTTTCATGTAGTTTGCGGTCATTTTGTACTGGCCAGAGTGAGCGCCTATAGCTGGCTGCCGCGAATAGGCAGGAAGATTCTACTGGCCAGCGTTGAATGTTAACTAGCATGCTAGCATGCAACAAAAATCGATAGCTGCATTCGTCACAAGTGGGAAAAATTTAAATCTGCATTGCACTTTACTCCAATTGGCTCATTCGCTTGCTTAAACTCAACGTTGATTCTGATTCCGCAGAACTTGGTTGGGTGTGAAAAAGCATTTGTTGTTAACATTCTTTTTTCATTCGGTTTATCCAGTTACGAGTCCTTTTTTAAAGTTGATCGTTTTGTGTTCATTTTGTTTAGTTTTTTTTTTCGTAACAGATTTAATGTTTAGTATAGAGCTTAGAAAAAATTTTGTGAGATAGGCAAGAAGTAAGGCATGTAGCAACATCAGCACGGAAAAGGGCACTCCTTTAAAGGCAAGAAAGGGCAAAAATATTTTAAGTCGAGTGATAGCGATTGCTGTATGAGTCGTACGATTTTTGAATCAAGCACGGACAACGCCGGTCCATGCTGCTAGTATGCATATAAAACCTTCCACGGTTTCTCCTATCATCTCTAACCTTGATCACCCAAAAACATATGGACCCGATAGCATCCCTGTAATAGTCATTAAGATTTGCGCACTCGAACTACATCTTGTTCTCTCTAAACTGTATAATAAATGCCTTGCTGCCTCCTATTTTCCTGCTTACTGGAAGTCTTCGTCAACTTTTAAGAATCTAGCGAACCGTCTGACCCATACAACTATCAGCCTATCAGCCTTCTCCCTCTGTCTTGAAAACTCCTACAGGCCCCAATCAATGTTGGATTACTTGTCATCTCTCAGCACATGCCCTTTTCGCAGACAAGTAATACGGCTCTCGCTTCTCCAGGTCAACTGCTGATGTATTAACGATAACTGTGGAAAGAGTCTATAGATAAAACCGGTGAAGCTCGGGCTGTAGCAGTGAACCTTTCGAAAGCCTTTAACAGTGTCAAGCATTCAGGTCTTCTACACAAGCTGAAATACTACGGTATCTTCTAGCACGTTTTTCAGCTGATCCAGTCATTCCTATCAAATCGTGAAATGATAGTTTTCCTGAACAGCCACTCGTCTACATCCTTTTGGGCTAATGCGGGTAACCCCCAGGGCTCCACTCTTGGTTCTACGCTTGACATATACGCTGACGACACTACAATTTATTCCTGCCTCAATAGTAAGGCTGACCAGTTTGACACGGTGAAAATGGCAGCCGAAGTACAAAACGACCTCATGACCGTCGTTAACGGAGGAAAATATGGCTTGTCAATTTTAACGTCACCAAAACTCAACTGCTCTCCATTAATCACCTAGGAGAACCCTCTTTGCCTTTCATCAGCATAGTCGATGCTATCCTCAAAGAAAGTAACTCACTGCAA